AAAAAAAAAAAAAAAACCAACCGCCATGAAAAAAAAAACGAAAAAAAAAACGAGAAAAAAAAAGTGATGTTTTTTTTGCCAATTTGAACTTGGACGATGAGGATGTTGCCATTCAGTGTTTTTCTTGCCTATCTGAACTACGACGACGTTCATGTTGCCATGACGTGTTTTACCTGCCTATTTTGAACTAAAAGTGTGACTCCGGAGCAGTTTCCTCTTTATTATATTAGGGTTTTTTTTTTTTTTTTTTCTTTAAGGTATTCGCAACGAAAAGGAATGAGACAACAGTATGTTATACAACAGAGGAATCAATTGACTTATTAGGTTTCAAACGAGGATGGGTTCATGCCGTACAATTATTATTATTCTCGTCCATTAATTGTAAAAGCAATTGAAGATGAGGCGGAAAGCCTCCTTGTCGAAGAGGAAGGAATGACTAATGGGATGGTAGGAAGAGAGAATAAGAAGGAATGTTGAAGAAGAGGAGATAGAAGGTGAGAAAAAGAAGCAGGAGGAGTAGAATTAGAAAAAAAGAGGAAGAAAATATTGAGGGTTCAAAAAATGCTTGGTTTCTTTCTGGTTCTTGTGGTTTTGGGAGTGGTGGGGAGCTGAGGAATGGGAGGTGGGGGGTTTAGATGGTTGGGAGTGCGAAAGGAGGGGTAGGGAATGAGAAGCATGGGTTGGATGGGTGCATGAACTTCAGGAGGGGGAGAATCAGGGTCGGAGGCGTAGTCGGAGGTCCTGACTGATTTTTTTCTACTAGAGGAAAAATAATTGGAAGATCTTTTGGGCACCATGACTATCAATCCGCTAGTTCCTCGAGGAGGGGGAAGGAGAAGGTTCCCTCCGTGGTCCTTAGGAGAAGCTTGCCAAGCGATTGCGGGGAAGGAGATGTAGCTTGACTTGGGTCTTGCGGAATTGGATAGAAGTCCGAAAGCTTGTTGCAAATGGCGTTCTTGACGAGCCTAAACCAAGGCCCAGGTCCGGTGGAGATAAGCGCGTGGAGGAAGAGCTGGCTGAAGTCCGTCTTGGTAAGCTCCGTGAAGAAACCCTTGAAGAAGAAGGCGAGTGGCAACAAGAATCCCGAGGAGGGCGCCTGAGAGGAGAGGTGCTCTGTGATGCTCCGAGTCCTGAAGTGACCGAAAACTTGACGGGTGGCCTTCGCGTGGAGGCTAAGCAGAGGACGAAGCAGTAGAAGGGAATTCGACGATCGTGCGCATATTCCTCCTTCAAGATAGCGAGGTCCAGCCTCGCGCGGTCACACTCTGCGTTGTAAGGAAAGGAAGATTTCTTGTTCCCACGTAAATGAAAGAGGTGATGAGGTTGAAGAAGAAAAAGTGCGAAAGGAGTTCAATTGCTTTCTTCCTTTTTAGGAAGAAGAAAGAACGATCTCCGTTGTGGAAGGTGGTGAAGGCGGCGCTCTCTGCAAACGCTAGGAGATCATCTATTGTAGCGGTGGAGCCGAATCTCTCATGGACCAGTCCGTTCTACAAAGAAACGAAGGAGGTGGGCAGTAGTAGCGGAAGAGCGAAGAGGTGGAGAGGAAGGAGGGAGGCAGTGGGAGGATCCAAGACGAAGATGCAAACATTGCGAAGGAGACAACTATCTGCCCGAATGATAGGCGGGGTAGTGTGGGTGGACAGGGGAGTGATTAGAGCTTTGAATTCGGTCGTTAAGGCTTCGTCAGATATTACGGTATCATTCTTAGCTACAAGTGTGGAGGGAAAGGAGTTTAGAAAGAGGTCGTAGATGGGAGGGTTGTCGTGGGCGGGATGGAAAAGAGGAGGATCAGAGTCAAGACAGGAACATTCTGATATGGGTATGGAGCGGGTGGAGGAGTTGGGAACAACAAAGAGAGGGGAGATTGGGGGCCTGTCGCCAGAACGAGCAGTCGACGCGTTCATTGCCGATTTCTTCAGGGGGAAGAAGACGAAGGACTGACCTCTGACCTCTGACTGACACCGACGCTGAGAATGACACGAACTGACCGTGGGACGACCTGCTGAGAGACCGGTTCCTGTGGCTGATCGCTGGTTTGACTGAAGGAGGACCTGATGAGAGGACAGAGGTCCCGAAGGCTGTAAGCTGAGGACAGCCCTACGCCAAAAATGGCGAAGGAGAAATGACTCTCCTCAGACCGGCTGACGAAGTGACTTGACTGGTCTGCAGGTTTGCTAATGCGCTGAGTGCTGCTGGAGGGCGCGCGAGCGAGGGAGGATCCAGAGAGATCCAGCAGATCCAGCAGGTCCAGCAACCTGCCTCGACTGCTACGCTGCCAGTGACTTCTACTGTCGCGGGCAGTGGGAGCAGTGCCGTCCGGGCCGGCGATGTCCAAATGCATCCCGGGTGAGTTCCGCGAACCTGGTCCTATTTCAGACCCGACTGAATGTCCTTCGTCCCGCTGGTGGTCCCAAGCTGGAGTCCAATGCCCTGTAACTGTAGGAGGTCAGTGCCGTGGTCCAACCGCTGAAATTGTAAGTCTTCTGAGGAACGCGCGTCGTAGATGTCCTGAATCCAAGGCCGAGACTGTCGGTCGTAGGCGAGCCAATGGTGTCAATGGAATGCAAGTCGTAGATGCCCGAAATCCAGGGCAGCGAAGAAATGAGGAAGACCGAGGGAACGGTTGACGTGTCTAAAACTGTGGGCAACCGTTGGAATGCAGTGATGGTGACCTAAGGTAAGTGTAGTAATGGAAAAGGCCGTGGCACACTGTAAACTACATCACAATAGATAGTTGGTGCAGATTACAGGCCTACTAACCCTTCACAGGCTTATTCTTTTCCTACCTGACACGATGCACATCAAACTGTGTAGTTGCATTTTAAACCACCAGTACTTGGGCGACACCTTAGCGCTAAAGCTACACGATTTCCGCGGCCGGCGGGCCGTCTATAAATCGAATCGACAGCCCGCGCTGCTTCGAGATTTGGGCGGCCGGCGCGGCGCGCAGTGCCCAAGTACTGGTGGTTTAAATGTACTTTACAGGGACGCTGGACCCGATTTCCAGCAGGTGTTGCTCCCCGCCAAAAGATGGAGCCATCCCGGCACTACTAGCCGTGTCTGATCATATCAGCACCCCTAGTAGCAGCTCGGGCTGTTTCTTCAAAAAAAAAAAAAAAAAAAAAAAAAAAGGACAGTTGCTGCGGATTCCAAAGGAAACACAGAATGGAGTCATGAGATCGGATAAACAGAACCTGGTGTCGCTCCAGTGCATTGGTTACAACCGGGTTATTTGTTGAGGATTCCCGGCCTCAGAGTTGTAAAGCTTTGAATAAAGGATCCCCTACCTTTTCCCCAAAAAAAGATAAAAAAAAATCTTGCACAAACAAAATAAGTCCCGGCCTCAGAGTTGTAAAGCTTTGAATAAAGGATCCCCTACTTTTTTTCTTTTTTCTTTTTTTGGGAAGTTTGTCAATTTTATTAAAAACTCTGAATCGAGGCCGGGGTCCTCACAATTCTACCCTGGAGAACACTGGGGCCATTACCCAGACTAGGCTTTCTGGAAACCGGGTCCAGAGTCCCATCATGATAGAACCAAAAATATCCATCGTTCTCCTCCAATTATTCCCTTGCCTCTCTTCCCAAAAAAATTAAACTTGAAGCTCAGTAAAAGGAACATCCACCTTCTACTCGCCGAGGGGATCATCTGACTGTAGGGGGTTTCTTTACACGCCGGCCCCAGAAGACTAATCCAAATCTCCTTCAATCCGGTTTCTCTTTTTGAAGCCAGCGAGTAAAGCTCAAGTGTCCTTCCGGTGAGACCGAGCAAAAGGCGTCGTTAATTGTCCACAGTTTTTTGAACTTTAGTATGCCCCCTCCCCCTCTCGAACGAAAGGCGTCGTTAATTGTCCACAGTTTTTTAACTTTAGTATGCCCCCTCCCCCTCTCGAACGAGTAGCTTTCCAATCTGCCGGAATGGAGAAACGGAGATAAGATTTGATCATGTGTTTCTGCTGTTCCAGAGCGACCGTCAAATACAGGGTCGCTCTGGAACAGCAGAAACACATGATCAAGTCTAATCTCCGTCTCCCCCTCATGTGTTTTTGGGGAGTTCCGAGCTTTCCATACCACTTCCATGATAGATCCTCTGCATATCAGTGCCCCTACTTTTTCCCCCAAAAAAAATTAAAAAACAATTTGCACAAAAAAAAAAAGAAAAAAAAAAATCAATCTTGTGTCTACGTTGGCTCATTTGGTTGTCGGAAAAGACAAAAACAAAAAACAAAAAGCAAAAAGCAAAAAGCAAAAAGAGAGCGGCCTTCCTGCATGGCTACGTGCCAGCTATGGCCTCTCAACCACAGCTTCTCTGCGAGAAACTGGCGTCGCTCCATCACACAAAACTGCACAGGTGCATTTGGACGAGTCCAACACCATGAGCGTATCCGGCGAAGAAAGCGTCCAAATGCATGTAGCGTGTGGGTGTGGTGCAGCAAGGGCCACTGACGAGAGGCGGGCGAGAGCGCCGCGGCTACCCGAATTCGGGCCGGCTACCACGCAGGGCAACAGCGTAATCGCTGCTCTATAAGAGCACTCTCCATACTGTTGACGATCAACTGCGATGTGCGCCTCCGTTCTAGTTGAGCTGCGGCGAGCGTCCTCTCGCAGTTGAGTCGCTCTACTCACACAGCTTCCACATTCACGAGTCTGTGACCGAAGGGGTGTCCGGTGTTGTGGGGTCCCTACTGCCTTCATCGATCGACACAGGCGGTGCAGTCGTCGGGGTTTCATTCTGCATTTGACTGCTGCCGACCAGTTTGACTTTGCATCCCTGACCTTCACTGCCAGGCAGTTTCAGAGGTGGAGCTTCTCTACTCTACATCATCTCTCTCTCTCTCTCTCTCTCTCTCTCTCTCTCTCTCTCTCTCTCTCTCTCTCTTGCCGGGGCCATGTGGGCGCGTCAGGACGATGCGTTTTACCGATGGGTTCCACCGATGTACCAGGAGGTCGAATCCCGTAAGTGCCGATGGTCCGCCCAGCATGCATTTGACTAATGGATAAGGACTGGCCACGTTGGCCAGGGTATTCACTAGGAGAGGTGGTGTCTCCCTCGTTTTTTGGTGTGTGCGTGTGTTGTCGTGTAATACGCCGAGATAGGAAATATGACGGTGCCAAACCGTTGCGTTGCGTTGCGTTGCGTTGCGTTGCGTTGCGTTTGTCCGCCCGATGGTGTAGTGTCGTTAACGGTCTGATTTGACATGACATATGGATCTTGACGTCTTCGTACGAGCATCATTCAAGGAACGACTTTTTGTTGTTCTTTTAGATCTGTATTCGTCTCTCTCAATGTATGTAGTTTTTCCTTACCTCTCTTACTCATCTTCTCGCTACGTAATGCATGCGCAGTACGGAGTACTACGGAGGAACACCAACCGGACTTTTTTGTTGCGCGTTGATGTTGTCGATCTGTTGTTGTTGCAATTCTGACGTCGCGCTCAATCAATGCTGCTGACTGCTCGTTTGCGGCTGAAATGTTATGTTATTTGGATTCTGTTTGTGGCTGAAATTTCATTCCATTTGGATTCTGGTTGGAAATTACCGTTACGCCGTGTCGGTACAGTCCTTTCACCCGTGAATGCTAAATCAACGGCGTTGGTTGCAGGCAGACAAATAAGACCCAGCCCGTCAATCTGAGATAACGAGTTGAGGTGTGCGTGGTTGGGCTGGAGGTGGCTGTCGGCGTGGTTGGGTAGGCGGATGGGTGTCGAAGCGGGGTGGGGTTGTGGAGGTGCAGATGGGTGGGTGGATGGGAGGATGAGCTCACGTGGTTGTAGGAGCGGGTATGTGGGTGGGTGTGTTAGTGTGTGGGTGGG